AGTGAGTATTAAATATTATTAGTTCTCTCTAATGTATGATTTTTTATCCACTATTAATATAAAAAATTAAAATCGTTTATATACTTATTTTTTATCCATATTAAAAATAAGTATATATACAAATACATATATATAGTGAGTGAGTATTAAATATTATTAGTTCTCTCTAATGTATGATTTTTTATCCACTATTAATATAAAAAAATTAAAATCGTTTATATACTTATTTTTATAGTATACTATGTATTTATATGTATATTCTAAATTTTTATAATGGAATATGTGATATTTAATTGTTTCTATAAACAAATTCTATTAATCCCATGTATTTAAGATGGATAATTTTTTGTTTGGTAATATATATCAGATTAGGTAATTTTAATATTAGTTTCCTTTTAAAAAACTTTAATTAAATAAATAAAAATTCAAATGCCAACAACCAATCAAATTAAGAGAATTAATTCTATATTGCACCTATGAATGACACGTAAGCAAAATTCATTAAAGTGACTTCTCTTTTAATATATAGGAGGATATGTTACTTCTTAGCTTATCATGCAAGCTAAATCATTGAGAAACGTCCATCAATTTATTATAAATAAGACATTCACAGTAGAAGAAATGAAATCATTAAACTTTGTATTCTGAACTTTTTATTTTAATAATGTTCTGAACATTTTTTTTTCTTATTTTAGAACATTAAGTTTATATATTTCATGAGAGCTGATTTTTCTTTTGGTTTATATAAAGATATCCTATTACGACGATTTCTCCACTGAAGCTATATATGATTTGATTGTACACCTCTTTGATATATCATTTCGATAACATCTTTGTTCCTCAATCTGGTAAAAAATATTTCTCTATTTGATAACATCTCTCAGCTATATCATTTCAATAGCATCTTTTTCTGCTGCCAATACTTTTTTTTTTATTAGTAGATTTATATTATTTTTTAGAATTATAAGCTTATATATACATATATATTTCTTTGGTTTGCTGGTTGAGCTTTACTTTTTAATATATTTCTTTAAATTGCTTCATGCCTTACTTTAAATTAATATAACTTGCACAAGAAGACGAATATTTAATTCAAATCAGCTTTTGATATTGTAGATTTAATAACTTTCATTATTTAGTTCAAATATTTATTATAAAAAATTAATATTTTCTGCTTTGTCGCCTAAATCGGTATTACACTTTATAATTGCTTAGATTTTATAGTTACAATAGCATACTAATGAGATGAACTATTTCTCTTGCAGGTCATGATGTTGCAGTCCTTAGGTGATATTTCCTTTGGTGGTGATTTTTCAGGAACTCATTTGTCTAAAAGAAAAAACCAAGAAAATCATGACAGTAACCTTGGAGGATCAACACTCTGTCAACAAAAAACATTCCCACAAAAATATCAAGGGCGAGCGATCTCGAATTTTTTTAAAAATATTTATTTGTGAATATTTTCCAGGAACAACACATTTAGTCTTTTGTCACTATCCGCATTATTCATTATTATTTATTTCAAAGAAACACACATTGAGTCTTTTCTTGTGCTCATGACAATTTTTAAAATAATTTCATTGTAATAACACTCATGTTTTAGTAATAATCTGTTGGAAGAGATGAAATTATCTAATTTTCGTTCTAATGACATGTTATTATTTAGTCAATGTATTCGTTATTGTTTTTTAGTTATATTTTTATTAGATTATTTTTTTCAGATCTCAATATATAATAAGGTCATTTTTATAGTTATTATTATCGTCATTTAACAATTATATTATTACTTGTTTATTATTTAATTCTCACAACTTGCCTTGAATGAAAAATATGTCCACATTTATCACATTAATGATTACCAATTAATGATGATTACAACATCACGTAACATATACTCCCTCCGTTACTAAATGATTGATGTTCTGAAAAAAAAAATCAAATTTCAAAAAGATTGATGTTTTTATTTTTTCAATGTATGATTTAATGAAAAGTTGTAAGTTTCAAAAAAAACTAATGGTGTTTATTGAATTTATATTGGCTAAAAGCTATGGAAAAAATATATTCATAAAAAACAATGCATTTACAATCAAAATTTAATGAGTTTCTTAATATATGTGAAAAGTCTAAAACATCAAATTTTTTTAAAACAGAGGGAGTATTGTATAAATTTAATTCACAAGATTGATTGGTAATAATTAAGAATGATTTATGTTAACGCATTAAATTCAGGACGTGTTCTGAATTTTTTTTTTCTTATTTTAGAACATTAAGCTTATATATTCCATGAGAGCTGATTTTTCTTTTGGTTTATATGAAGACTAGGTGACCGGCCCGCACCATGTGCTGATATATACAAATTCAAATTATGGACTTAATAATACAAAGTTTTAGAAGTAATATATTTCATATCATAAGATCACCGTCTGTATATACATCTCCCTCTCAGGAAATGCATGTTCTGAGCTAGGGAGAGAGAGAGGGAGAGAGAGAGAGAGAGACACAGGGAAAGAGAGAGAGGGAGGGAGGGAGAGAGAGAGAGGGCGAGAGAGAGAGGGAGAGGGAGAGAGGGAGAGGGAGAGAGAGAGAGAGAGAGAG